TGGAAAAAATCATGACAAATAAGTATTCTGACAAAGGTCTGCTCTCTAAGATTTATAAAGAAAAAAAAAACACTAGGGTCCCAAAATATAAAGATCCAGTCCAGAAATGGGCATCTGAAATGGACACACACTTCTCTGAGGATGAATTTAAAGAAGTGAATATATACATGGAAAAATGCTCCACATCACTAGCCATCGGTGAAATGCAAATTAAAACAACATTGATATGTCATCTCACCCCAGAAAGAACGGCTATCATAAAGAAATCAACCAACAACTGATGCAGTAGAGGCTTTCGGGAAAAAGGAAACCTTCTCCAATGCTGCTGTGATTGTAGACTGGTGCAACCATTATGGAAATCAGTTTGGAGTCTCCTTCGAAAACTTGGACTGGAAATCCCATTTAATCCTGCTATTCTTCTACTGGGAATCTTCCCGTAGCATCTGAAAACATCATATCATAGTGATATATGTTTGCCTATGTTTATAGCAGCACAATTTGTGATAGCCAAATCTTGGAAACCACCAAGATGCCCATCACCTGAGGAATGGTTGAAAAAGATGTGGTACTTTTATACAATGGCATATTACTCAGCTATAAAAAAAGATAAACTCAAAAGCTTTATGTTGAAGTGAATGTCACTTGAAGATATACTCAAAAATGAAATAAACCGGATGCACATGCATAAATATCATATAGTTTCCCTAGTATAATAACTCAAAAGGAGAAATACAAATAGAAATGTATAATATGCCTAAAAGGAAAGCAACAAGTTGAGGACTAGAAAATGAAAAGAGAGCAAAGAGAAGAGCTAGGAAACATGACAGTGACAAGCCATACAGTTATATGTGGAAGATGGGTAAGGAAATAATCCTGAGATTCTTCACAAGATTTTTGAATCCAGCAGTTAAATGATATGATTCTCACCCTGATTAACTATACATACAGACACCTGTGAAATAAGCAACTGCACTGAACATGGCAATTTATAATAATAGGTTCATACTTAGAGTGCCTGTCATTCTAGTCTGCTGAATACGGGATGCTCTTAATGACATGACAGTTGGTGTCATGCTGTCTATTGGGTACATGATTGTTCAAAAATTAGGGGGTGGTGAATGAAGGCAGGAGACAGGAAAATGAATGTTGCAGGACTGTCCTAGTAAAGGTCGTATATGGTTCAATTATTGGACTTATGTGTAAACATAAGAATTATATAATGCTTTATGCCTATTTTTAAAATGCATTTTAATTTTTTAATGTTTTTCATCATATTCTGTAGGGACTTAAAGTTTAACTATCAATACTTGATGAAAAATGCCTGTTCCATATTATGCCTAATATGGTTGATATTCACACCGATAGTGAGGTTAAGCTTAACAGTCTAGGTTGTATGATAATAATAATATGCTTTCTTCTGGAGGGTTAACAGCCTAAGTTTGCAAACCAATATTAGAGAAAAAGGAGGGCCACAAGGAAAGCCAACATTTTGGTCCTAGCCTTCCAATGTCAATTAAGACTCAGGACATACGAGAACTTGAATTATAACATCACGTAACTCAGTACTGTCCCAAATTTTCTGATCAAGGAGATTATGGGGCCAAAGAGGAAAGTGATCAATGATGTAGAGTGTGTCTAAGGAGAGTCACGTGGAGAGAAAACATTTTCTCATGCTTTCACAGAGAGCACACTGGCGAAGCAATGCCCGTGACTCATCCATATGACTGACACTGACAAAGCATATACAATCTGAGGTACAGGATCTCAGGATAAATCCCGAAGGGATTTCACTGATCTTATCAGATCCAAAAGCTACAACTCTTTTTGCATAGGTCTTTCTTTATTTTGGTCTTAACCATTCAGCAGAAAAGTATAAAAACAAATTATAAGAAGTAAAGTCATGGTGTTACGTTGAGCTGTAGGGGACTCAGGACAACATTTTCTGACATTGCCAGTTAGGAGGAAGACTCAATACTCTTATGGACTACTGGACTTTTTTAGAATATTTTGCTGTGTTAACACACCTATAATAGTCAAATGACGAGGAGGCAATGGCAAGATGGTGTCCCTGGATCGGGTAAAGGTACTGGTGTTGGGAGACTCAGGTGTCGGAAAATCTTCACTAGTTCATCTTCTTTGCCAGAATCAAGTGTTGGGAAATCCATCATGGACTGTGGGCTGCTCAGTGGATGTCAGAGTTCATGACTACAAAGAAGAAACCCCAGAAGAAAAGACCTATTATATAGAATTATGGGATGTTGGAGGCTCTGTGGGCAGTGCCAGCAGTGTGAAAATCACAAGAACGGTGTTTTATAACTCTGTAAATGGTATAATTTTGGGGCTGGAGAGATGGTTCAGTGGTCTAAAGCACCTACTTAGAACAAGCTTGGCAAAGCACAGGGACCGCGGTTCAATCCCCCAGCACCACATGCCAGCCAGCCCCGCCCCCTGGTGGGCTGAGCTGGCCACACACACACACACACACACCACTCTCTCTCTCTCTCTCTCTCAAATAAATAAAAATAAAAAAAAATAAAAAAAAATAAAAAAATGGTATAATTTTAGTCCATGACTTAACAAATAAAAAGTTTTCTCAAAACTTGTATCGTTGGTCACTCAAAGTTCTCAATCGGGACTCAATGCCAACAGGAGTCTTGGTAATGAATGGGGATTATGATCAGAAAAAGTTTGCTGATAACCAAATCCCACTGTTGGTAATAGGAACTAAACTGGACCAGATTCATGAAACCAAGTGTCATGAAGTTTTAACTAGAACTGCTTTCCTGGCTGAGGATTTCAATGCAGAAGAGATTAATTTGGATTGCACAAATCCACGATACTTAGCTGCAGGATCTTCCAATGCTGTCAAGCTCAGTAGGTTTTTTGATAAGGTCATAGAGATGAGATACTTTTTAAGAGACAGTAATCAGATTCCAGGCTTTCCTGATAGGAAAAGGTTGTTGGGAGGAACATTTAAGAATCTTCATTATGACTGAATTACACTCATCCTTTGGAATAATAAGAAAGAAGACAGTGGCAGTTTTCAAAGCTTTCCTCTGGCTGTGTAAGTTATTAGCATCTCAGACTTAGGACAAAGCCATCTTAAAACACTACCCTTCAGCCTCACTTGTTAATGGAAAAATGAAAGTAGATGACAACGTGGAAGATCCACACTGTGTCCCTGTTCTTCTGAGAATGTTCCTCACCCTATCTGCCCATTTAGAGATTATGTAAAAGCCTTGTGGAAATATGAGACACTATTGTCCAAATGATGCAGTAAATGAGCAGTGACACTGCTGCACAGAAAAAAAAAAATAGTCAAATGACAGAACCAAACATAAAAGGGGATACAGATGAATGTCCATTTTGTTTCTGTGTATTCAAAATGGTTAGGGTAGATATATAGTTACATTCTTTTAATGAATACAGGGATTTGTTCTAATAGTGTTTGTAAATAGGATAGCATGTCTGCATCTTGTACAGAAAATAACCACTAGAAGAGAGTATGCAATGTGTTAATTACTGAAACTGTCGTACCAATGTGATTTGAAACTGTCTCATTGCTAGTTGTCTCTCAATAAAATTATGGAAAAAAACAGAAAAAAATAAAGAAATATAAGGAACTAGCACAACATCAGTT